GCGCGTACTCATGTATATATATATATGTACCCATAATTGTGTTGTACTTCTCCGTGCGTGTTTCTCTTTCAGAATCGGCGGAGCAAACAGAGTAAAAAAAAAAAAAAAAAAAAGTGAGGAGAAGCGTAAAGAACAGCGTCGAGAGGTGCGCGCGGCCAAAAGCATCCAAAGAATAAGACTAAGAGGAGGAGGAAGAGACGCGCGCGCTCGCGTGCAAAACACTCTCTCGCCTCTCCATTGCATCGGCCAACGAACTGCACTTGCACACTTTGGTACATTGTACATGTATGACATACATATAGTATATATTTACATCTGGGTACCCACATCACCTATGCATCATCACGGGGGAGGCAACCACGTACAGGCCCCCCTAGAGCCCTCTCTCTCTCTCTCTCTCGCTTTTCTCAGCTAAAAAGAGAGCAACGAGGCATCGGTATAGGCTAGCAGCATCAGCATCGTGGACCATCCGAGCGTGCAGCTAGAGACGCCTCTCTCACGGAGATCTTCTCTCGGGTATGGACCACATACCTATATACATTCGTACATTCAGTAGGAGAGCCCGTTGGTCGTCACGCACTGCACCGCGGGGCGACAACGCGCCAAAAGTAGTGGGAGTGAAAGAGCGCGGAGGTGTGCTGCTCTCGAAGCTCGGCAGCGGCACATAGTCTCTCGAGAGCGTTCCGGCAATCATGCCAGCGGCAGAGCACCGCGCAGCTATTTCGCTACCCTCGATCGGCCGATCCGATCGATCGGCGCTACAAACCCGGGAAATCGTTGATGATTTCGCCAAACTCCATCGTACATTGAAACCATAGGGTTTCGAGCTTGCAAAAATTTCAACTATGAAGCGATGAAACATTAAAATTAAAATAATACCCGTTGTCTCGACACCTGTGCGTTCGCCGAGTTCGCGGTGTGTGTGTGTACACGTACCACAAGTTTGCGACCGATCCAGCGGCAACGAGGGGGGGGGGGAGGAAGGAGATCATAATTGAGTGCACATACGCGAGTCCAGTGAAAGAGAGCGAGTCGTTGGGCCGAGAGATAAAGTGCCCGCGCGCTCGGAGAAGTCGCGACCAAAGAAGGCGAGAGCGCCAATAAGTGCCGCTCGCCTGGAGGAACTCGAGTGTGTGAGGTGTGTAGGTATAGGATACACGGGGCAAGATGACGACGACCATGGCAACGTCGAGCAGAACTCGGCTATTCAGCGACGCCGAGACAGGTATACAAGATCGGGATATGATGAGCGCTGGTGCAATGTGTGCTGCAGGTATCGTCGCTTTGGATGCTGCTGTTGCGGTTTTCGTGAGCATACGTGTAGTGCAGGCCTTTTTTTTAACTTTGATTTTCTGGGGATTTTAGCGGTGATCGGTATCAACCGATTTTCGGATCGTTTCATTGAATTTAGGGTTTTGTGGATTTTATTGTTTTCAATCTGAATACTTTTTTTTTTTTCAAGTAACAGCTAGATGATTACCTTTGGAAAATGATGGATAAATAATTCATACGGGCCGCATCGATGTGGGAGCTTGTGCTGTTAAATTGTATAATGATACACTGGGGGCAGGATTTCTGTCATGAAATACGAAAATTTCCAGCGTATTAAGAATTATGCACCTCGGGCTATTTATTACCTTCCTCTCGGCTTACAAAGAGAAAAAATACAAAAGCGTGATATCACGTATATGTATGCGTATAAACATGTCCAGTTGATGCAATTCGCCTTCATTGCTACGGCGTTGCAAAATCAAAGTTGCAGTATATACACCTCGTCTTATTCTCGTTTTTCTCTTGCGAACGTCAGATTTCTAGATCTCAAGATTGGCTTGACAAATCCGATGGTATGGTATACCTGCCGTGTACACCCACTACAAAATGTTGCGGCAAGCATAATCAATATTTAATGTGTGCCACCGAGGCCACTTGATGAACCACATAATATAAAACGACATTTGTTTTGTTAATGTTTTTTCTTTCAACGACGTTAACGGTTGTGCTTGAATTTTACGTGGTTCATTCATATAACGCTACTAATTATTTTTCACGTATGTTTTATTAATAGCTTTACGCTTATACGACTACTCGAGATGTCACATTGGGAAAGTTTATTCTCAGAATCGAATTAAGTACCTAATACCTCATTAATATTAACTAGTCGAGTGAGACACATGTTTTTTTTTTTTTTTTTTTTTTCCTAATCCGATTATGGATTATGTCATGAAAAAAAAATCGAAGCCTCCAATACATCACTCATTTGGCAAAGGCACTTCATTACACTGTCAGTTCAAATGTACCCGATCCAATAAACACCTACTTATACCCTTGAATTTGAATGCTCAAACATTTACCATAATCGTTACAAAAGGTGTCACGCACAAATAAACGGAAGAACCAGCAAACGCGTCAATTTATTCTTTTCATCGAAAGCAGCACTTTTTTTTGTTGTAAAAATCATCGCTAACGCGACACACAACATGTTGTTCGTGTACGTAACACAAGTGGACCTCCTAAGGTCTTTGGCGAGGTTTTATAGGTATACAATAAGCTGTTGCTCTCCTACGCGCGTTCAAGGCCGGTTTTCTCTTTCTTTTTCTTCCTTTTCATTTTTTTTCTCGGTCCAAGTAACGGCGACACCGCACAGGTTGCGGTTGTGTAGTTCTTATACACGCACATCGCATAGCGGTCTCTATTTTTTCCCAGTGTCATGTATACGGTCCTTCATTCGGAAATGAAAAAAGAAAATCGAAAAACATATTTTTTTTTACTTCAAAGCGGCGATGGGTTTATTATAATACACGCTGGAGAAGAAAAAAGCGCGCTCCTATCGGGTAACCCGACCACCGTGTCCGTCTTGGGTTTTATTATTATTTTTTCCTCTTCAAGTTTAACATATTTTTAGACCCCAAGGAAGATCGGCGTTCCTTTCTTTTTTTTTTCCCCAACGAGCGCTATTTCTGTCCCCTCGATTCCGCGTACACCTACAATTTACGAGCACTTGCGCACTCGGTACATGCAGTGTAGAAAAAAAAAAAAAAAAAAAAAAAAAAAGCGTCTATCTTATCTCGGCCGGCTGGTGGAACCTTATACCGTGCACCTCTGCATACTGTTTGATAACAAACAGCAGGCCGTGGTAATTTATGATACGCGTGTAATCGCGCCCACGTGCGAACGATCGATCGAGTCCCATGTGCGTTTAGCTCACCCGCCGCCAATACACCGACAAGGGTTTCGTTTTTTCTCTACGAAAATAACTTTTGCGCGGCCGGTGTGTATAACATAAAATAGAGGAGATTGAAGGACCTTTTCGGGAGTAGGTCTATATAGTTTGAGCGTATCCGCACGATCTAAACGATTTGTGTTCTCCGAAAAGAGGTATAAGCAACAGTAGAGTCGTGTATACCTGCAGCCTGTAGGCGATCCCTTTCGGCTCGGCCCAATTTTCGCAACCGACAGCGTCTCCCCTTCTAATAATAATAAAAAAACAGTTTCTCCATACGAAGCATCGTGGTCCGTAGGCTTGTTCTCACCAAGGAACATGACGCCAAGGTACGGCACGGGAATGACCGCGACGTCAAGATCGGCCTCCACCTCCTCGTCCGGCAAGCAAAACGGCGTCGGCCACGGGAGCGAGTGCTCGTGCTGCCCGTACGGTTACCACATAGACCTGGACTTTGTGCGGTACTGCGAGGATTGGCAGGCAGCGGCCAGCGATCGGATAGCTCGGGGCAACGAGGAGAAGCGCAGGAGGCGCGCCAGGCAGAAGCAGTGCCAGTCCATGGAGTTTCTGCTCGGCTTGCCCGGGGACAAGGAGGTGAGATTTTTTGGAGGGCCCTTCTTTTTGCTCCCCTTTCGACGATGACAGGTGCCCGTTTCGCTCGATTCCGAGAGGAGAACCTGTCGAATGAAAGAAAAAAAAAAAAAAAAAAGTTACGGAAAACAGAGCTCGACTGTCACTGTATGAATCGATAGCGGCACATGGCCTCTTTTCTCTTTTTTCTAATTAGGTACGCTCGAGAGCGCGTACTTGTAACAAATCACGCGAAACACCACCGCAGCTCTTCGAGCCGGCGCTGGAGAGCCCGTTATCTCAGCTCGCCGATAACACGCGTTGTGCGCAACAGTTCGATACATTAATGTAACGCGTGCGTATAGGGTATACCTATACACAAGCATGGTACGTGTACTATGCTCGTCAGATGATTTGAAATGTATTGTGTATACGCGCGAACGGCGGGAGGAGGGGGAGGCGTGTTAAACGTTAAAATGTGCTAGTTCGCCCTCAACTGTAAAGTATATATTATACGTGGGTAGTACGCGCGTCTGTGTACCTTCTTGCGAGCATCGAGTGCGTCGCACTAGATGCTCACCTTCGTCTTGACGAAACGTCAATAGCGAATTTTCGGTGCGATAGTAAATAACGCGAAGCTCCGTGGATTATTACTTTCGAGTTGTACAATGCAGGGTATTTGTGTTTCTCTGTGCGCGCGATAATCAATATCGGCACTGTTTGATCGAGCGTGGGACAATAATTGTGACAGCGATGCCGTCGTCGTGCTTACCTCGTTGCGCCAAGAGTAGGGGCAAAACATCCTGTGTGATCAAGATAAAGTATCATGAGGTATATATAACGTGGTTAATTGTGGTGCTTGTGTCGGCGTTGTTTGCTCTTTTGTTTGTTTGTTTGTTGGTATACATGCCGTTAATATGATCTCCGATGAAACTTAATCGTGACGTGTATCGGTGTATGTATATTTTTGTCAGATAAGCATGTAATGTACCAGAGACGCGCTTCGGCGAGGAAAGTTTGTCTTAACGATCAGTTTTTAAATCATATGTGTAAGCCGATATTAGAATACATTAGTTTTTTCCATTTAGACTCCAAACATGCGCGTATCGGTTTGAAATACACGATGATTTTGAAAAATCGTTAACGCGATCGCGAATCGTTGGGGTACGAGCAGCGTAGTTGCGTCGTCTATGTGCAGTTTATACTGTCTATTACCCACAAACTGATTTGACTTTAACTAAATTGCCTCTTTTGCTATATCTCTCCTCTTTTTTTTTTTTTTTTTTTTATTTTTATTACGTAAACACGCTCGTGGTGAGTAATTGCCATCGGCGTGCCGAGGATGCCACTTTTTGTTCGTGCATACGAACAGTTCCACGAAAAAATATTTCACCAAACTTTTTCATGAAATTTAAAAAGTCATTAGATCATTTTTATTGAAGCTTCCGAAATGAAAGAGCAAAATTTTTTCTAATTCATCACTCAGAGAGCACCAATAAATCGCAAATGAATACAAAAAAACTTTACTAAAATTCATATCTTAAAAGCACGTAACGAGGGACTCTTTGTCAAACTACATAATGTTTGGGAGATGCAAATATTCGTAATTACGTGTGGTGCAATGAGCGCAAACTTTTTGTATCCTCTCGACCGATGGGTTTCGAGCACAAAAATTTCAAAGGTGCTTATACTTACTCAAGAATGTGAAAACACAGAGCTTTCTCCTCGCAGCGTTTTGTTTAGCGCGTATACACGTCGGAGCGTTTCAAGTACCCACCGATAATTACTCGATAATCGAAGAGTGTATATATATACATATATTTCCATGAATATTCGGTTTGCTCGAGCTGTTGCGTCACAGAGAAAAAAAAAAAAAAATTAGCGCCCTACCCAATTTTTTTTTTTTTTTGTTTTCTTCTTTTTTTCTCTAGTACCCCCGAGACGACCCCCGAGAGACGGGGGATTTATTTTCCAACGCTAAAATATCGCCTTATTGGATTATTATAATTATCATCATCCGCGGGGAAGCCATCAACTTTCCACCCTCGCGTTGGCTCGCGCTAAAATTGTATAATTGGCTTTGTGCAATCTAGATTACGAGCAATAAAGCGTAAACCAAAGCGTCGAACGCATAAGCATATACACATACGTATATACAGCCGAAGCGGCGAAAGTTCATCGGCCCAGCGGCCCAATTGAAAAATCATTTTAAGAGCCAAAAACTAAAACTCGATTGAAAATTCACATGTATAGTACAAGCCAGTGCCGCCGCCTGCGAAGCCAACACCGCCGAAACCACCGCCAAAGCCGAGCCCCGACAGCATCAAACTCAACAGGGACTGGCAAGAGAGCCTCAACAATTTCGAGCGAGCCCTCTCGCAATCGTACACCGGTCCCAGCCGAAGCGCGGCCATCGACACCTTCGATCCGAGGTACGTTACGTTAAATTCTCTCGTCCCTGTCTGACGGCTTGAACCTACAATCGAGATAATTTCTCTCCCTACACATATAAAATACACAAAAAAAAAAAAAAAAAAAAGAAAAAGTAAAAACACATTTGCAATTTGTCGATGGCAATTTGTGCAGCAGCATCTGCACACTCGAGTACCTCACGAATGGCAGTACGTGCGTCGAGCCGAGGCGGGTACCCGAGATCGGAGCCGCAAGAGAAGAGCCGCAGGAGGACGAAGAGGAGCGCGAAGGAGAGAGCAGCAGCAGCAGCAACGGCGGCAGCAGGCCGCACTCCTCGAGCGCCGACTGGGGGGAGTCCGAGTCAGCGGTGCGTGTCGGCAACAAGAGCCGCAGCTGCAGCCCGAGCCCCTCGCTATCCTCGAGTAGGCTCGTGATCCAACAGCAACAACAGCAACAGCTACGCCGGGCCTCCTACTCCTGCGCCGAGGTGGAACCGGTGAGCCGCGTCGCCGCGGGCTGGGCCAACAATGGGGCAATCACAACCAGCACCAGCAGCAGCTGTGCCAGCAGCAATGAGAACAACAACAACAACAACAACAACAACAACAACAACAACGGTAGTAGTGGTGGCGCAAACAGGCCATGCCTGCAGAGTATACGGGAGCAGATGGCCGGGGCCCTCGAGCGCATGAAGCAGCTCGAGGAACAGGTCAAGGAGATACCGCTGCTCCACGTGCAGCTGTCGGTCATGAGGGAGGAGAGGAGGATCCTGCTCAGGCAATTGGCCAGCCAGAGGAAACTCCGTTCGGGACACTCGCATCAGACTGGCCCAGGTGTGGCTGGCAAGAGAGACGCAGGTACCTCCTGTGCCGTCGTCACCCGCGACGTTGGCGTCTCCCATCAGCAGGTGAGTTGGAACGCCCTGTGTGTATGTTTTTTTTTTTT